ACACACACACACACACACACGATAACTTGGTTTGTGGAAGGGATATGTGGTTTGGGAACTGGCGAAGTACTCACTCAACTCAGACGATTTCCGCTACAGCGAATGGCGAGCAAATCTGGGAATGAAAAAACAAGCATAGGATGACTGCATTTGTTTTTTAACTGCAGGGGCTTCTGTTATTATTGTAATTGGTTCGTCAGTCAATACACCCTAATGACATTACTGACAGGACAAGAGCTATGGGTGGTTTAGGCGGCAAAATTCAATTTTTTTAGTGTACATTTTGACTGTAGAGACGATTAACCAGTAGCACTGGGCAGTACACTCGTTTTCGAAAAACAATTCGGTTCTAATGCTACCATTTTCTGCACCACGAGCATTGAAGTAAGAATGAAACTTTTGCGAAAGGCCTTGAAAAGTTAACGCTGAGACTTACAATTTCGCAGAAAAGCATCCATGATACGTCCTGTCATTGATCACTTTTCTCTTTAGCGACTCCCTGAAACATTTTGATGAATTTTGACTAAAACGTTGCCTTGTATTGTTGGTGGTGCTTCGCTTAATACGTCGACTCGTCTGGTGGCTTGCGCCATCTTCACTTCATGTCTGTTATAGTTGTGGATGCTTCGCCCGATGGATTTAGCTTTTAAGGGAGACGACCGAAGGTGGTCACAACTGCGTGTGCTTGATGGCGGTTTTGGTACAGAATTGGAAGCCAGTGGTTTTCACATAAATGTGTGTTCTTGTTGTTAAGACAAACGGTTTTATCACTAGTACCCAAATTACTAGGCGAGAGTATTGCACTCGAGCATTTCTATCGTGTCGTTTATTGGTAGACTAATAAATGCTGTTGATTATAGAAAAAATAAAGGTTTTCCATGATTTATCAGGTCAGAAAGTCTAGTTGGGCATTAGAATTTCCGCCCTAAATTAGGAGTGGACTTGTTCAATGTTTTATGGGTCTTAGTTGCTTCAGGGTTATATTTGTGGATCAATATTACTTAGTTTTTTGACGGTAGTCGAACTGCCGTTACACATTTGATTTCTAGATTTTTTAATGATAGTTTCATTTTGAGTATGGAGTTTAAGTATCGTGTTGATTATAAACTTTCCATTTAATCTACTTTTGCTTCGTGTAAAATACTCTGAATTTTGTTAAAGGGTGGTTTTACTCAACGTATTTTGCAGGAGACTCACTAGTATCTGACAAGTGGCTTCTTCTGACGAGGACACAAAAAATAATAAATTTAAAATACTTTTTGATGATAAATAAAATATCAGTATATAGCTGTGTGTACTTTGTTTTTGCAGGGTAACCCATTGTGGAGTGCAAATGCGCTTTTTCAACGCCCTGATTTAGTGGTAGATATACATAAAAGGCAGGAAATGGTTTTTCTTTCTTTTGATTTCGTATCTTCATTCCACATAAAATTTCGAGTTCGTGTTTCCAACACTGAAATTCGCATTTTTAGGTTTATTTTAGCCGGCTGTGATGTAATACTTACGAATAGTTACCATGCTAATATTCGCAGAATGATTTCTCTCAAGAGCCTAAGTAAAGAAGCAGCTACTAATTATCTTAAGGTAGACCTGCAGAACAAAATTTTTTGCTGACAGGGTCTGTGGTTAACATTCGCTTTTTCAGAAGTCAGTGGATCTAGCATACCAAGCTGCTTATGAATGCAAGTTGAATTATGGAAAATCTGCCGAAATAATTGGTTCTGTGGGGTCATATGCTACTGCCCTTTCGGATGCTTCTGAATACAACGGACACTACGTCGACGAAGTAGAAAAATCGGTAAGGTCTTGTTAACTTTTAGAGCGTTGAGGATTGCAGGCATGACTAACGACTACTATAGGAAGACGTTGGCTTTACACGGTAAGCTAAACAGCAGTAAAAAAGTTTAAGAAAGAGAGTCTCAGTCGTCTTCTTGCCAAATAATGACAACAATGAAAAGTTAGCGCTTTGCTGAGTTTAAGTGTCAATCCGTTCATGATATCTATCTTATGGTCCATGTTTGCTATTATATTTACAGGTAATAGTTCAACATTACGTTGAACAGTCATCTCCACTTCTTGAAAAAGGCTTAAGATTTTTAGCGTATGAAAGTGTACCGGCTGTTGCAGAAGTAGGTGCCATATTAAGTGCTTTAGACAGTTTGAATCCTGACGTGAAATGCTGGATTTCTCTGACGTGCAAGGTAAGATAAGCAAAAGGTTACCAAGTTTTTTAGCTGACTGAACTACTAAGATAATGTACGTTTATTCTTATTGGTTTTCTTTCCTTTTTTTCTGTCATCTATCAGTGGTCTTAAAGAGACGTTGTAAAATAGCTGTTGCTAGCTCTGTATTTTCCCTGGGTTTTTACCAAAAGTTAAGAGATGATGTGTTGTGTGGAGTCAACGACTAATGCACTGTAAAGATTGTGATCTGTGCAAATTAGGTAAATTCATTTTAAAAGTTTTCAAGGTCTTTCAAAGTCAAAATGAACTGACGGGTTTTGAAAAGCAGCCTAATTGTAGTGTACAAGAACCAATTACAGTTTGAAGCAGAAGTTGTTGAACATCTGAAAAGTCGTCAGTTTAATTTGAAAGTGCGGAGAAATACAATCGAAAAAACTTGTATAAGTTTTTTGACTTTTTTGCGCTTGTTTCTCGCCTTGATAGAAGAACTGCAATTTTTTCATGAGACGAATGAGTTTTATCCGAGGAGCGCATCATGAAGTCGCAGCTTGTCTTTACTTCGTACGGAAAATTCTGTCTAGGTTAAACAAGTGCCATGTTTCTAGTAAAAAGAGAAGAAAATTATTTCTCTGCCCGCATCATGTGCATTATGTGTTCCAATTTATGGGACCTACAAAATCGTCAAAATTTCTTCATTTCATTGTAAGCATTGTTTTTGCTTTCAAAAGACGATGTTTTTAGCTTCTTATGGCAGATGTGTGAATTTTTGTCAGCAAACGCTTGGGACTCAACTTCTAAAGATTTCAAGATCACTCCAATGTGCATATTAGAAGGTTGTGTGGTTAATGGGTAGATGCGTGGATGTGACATAAAAGAGTAGTAAAAGTTTTCTGAATTCTTTCTGTGGCTTCTTCTTGCTTCGCCTTAGTCAGTTTCTTTCAGTTTTATAATATGCAGCACTCCAGGATATTAAGCATTTTGGTAATTATGCAGCCTGCAGCAAAAGAAGAATGGGAAAGGCAAGTTTACTGCGGGATCGCTTCGAGCACAGCATTAAAAAATTTCCGTAAAGACATCGATGTGCGGCTGAGTATGGGATTTTCAGACCAAGTGCTGAGAACAGAAAAGATTTTTAAAAAACTTTAGCTGCACAATAATTCTTTAAAAGTCCATCTGTCTTAACATTGGAGTTGTGAAAGTTGCAGTTTTTTTTAGAAACTAGTCGAAATTACTCTAGCTCCATTTCGGAAAGGCTACATTTAATTACGAATGCAAGCTTGCTTAACTTTTTCAATACAAGTTACAAAATATTGAGTTGTTTGCTTGAACAATTACATTTAATTACACCTCTTGAAAAAGAGCTGTTGTTGCTCGGAAGGTTTCAGTGTGTGGGAATAGTCCAGTGGAACTATTTTATAGACCTGAAAAGCAGTCGTGTAGATGCACTTCGATTCCTCCGCTTCTGACAAGCTCGCCTTCCCCAAGCACTTATATTTACCTTCTAGGCGAAGTTCCTCGGATTTTAGTGAGGTATGAAGTCTTAGACCAAGGAATGGATCACCGTAACAAAGCTGCTTCGTAGATATAAACTCAATCGTCCAAACAGTCGATAAGCAAAAAAAAATCCTCACATCTACCTTCAAATTGGTACCAAAAGCACAAGTTACCCACGTTTTAGGAATTTTTTACTGCTCTCCATAACCTGACTGAGTCGCGAGTTTTATTCGTCAGTTTTAACTCGTAGATTTATTCGCTGTTGTCAGTTTGAGGCCTGCCAATAGTAGTACGTCGTCTCATACAGGATACGGAAATTTTGTTCCAATTTTTGCTTAGCGAGGACTCACATTTCACGTAGCAGATTACTGTGAGGGCCGTCTTTCAACAGTGATAATAGCCAAAGTTGCAACGGTCACAATGAAATTGTCTTTTGGGGACCAGAGCCGGCAGCATGATTTTTTGCTGGTGGTATATCGTTAGAACAATTTTTGTATGAGTAAAAAGGCGGGTCTGTGAACTTTCTTTCACGAAGACTCCTACTTTGCTTTGCAGGATGGTGAACACACGAGCCATAACGATAAAGTTGAAGAGGCAGCAAAGGTTGCGTTGAGCCACTCAAAAGTTCTTGCAGTAGGTGAGTGAATATCCTTGTTCTAATTTATTGGATGAAAATAATACATCAGTAAAAGCGGAAATCGAGGAACAAGCTGCAGAACAATTCTGACTCAAGTAACAAGGGTCTAGAGTAAATAAAAGGAGTGAATGAGTTTCAGGTATAAACTGTACGTCTCCACTTCATATCAGTAGCTTACTGAAAAAAATTCAACCCCATTTACTTACGAAGTTCGCCGTTGTTTACCCTAACAGTGGTGAAGAATACAACTCAAGTGATAACTCGTGAGTATCAGCAAACAGCTTTGCCTTTACAGGGTTTTTCTGACCAACACTGCTTTTAAGCGACAGAAGAACTTTATTGCTTTTCACATTCCAGATGGACAGCGCAGAATGAAGAATGGATCACAGAAACAAATATAAGACAATGGCACCAGCTAGGCGTAAAACTTGTAGGAGGCTGCTGCAGAGTTACACCGGCTATGATTAATACTATAGCTAGATGCGTTCACCAGCTTCTAAAAAGCTGAAGAGTGAAATGTAGTACCAAGACCAAAAAGTCCTACTCTTTATATTTATTATTTCGCCCGCAGTTATTTTTCAGCAAGAAATGACTAGTAAAAAGGCATGTGAATAGTAAGTTAGAGGAAATCCAAAACAGGTCGCTACTATTCGTTACGACAATGCAAGTAGAGAGCTCCCACAAGAACCTAGAAAGGCACGTCCCTAGCGTTGTGACGCAAAAGGGCACAACTGCACTACGTTAAAAATGATGCAGTAACATTAATTACTTCAAAGGAGATGGCAATATATTGTATGCAAACATTAATCTAAACACTCTTTGTAAATAAAGACAATATATTCACTATGTGACTAAAAAATGGGTGCCAATTTCTCTGCATACCGTCTCCACTCCCACTCGATTTGTTTACTCCAAGGCGAGGAGTCTACCATTGACCCCACAGCTTCCAAAAACATTTTCAGCACTCATGTTAATAATAACCAATGTCACAGGGGCGTACGAGAATGTCAAACAAGTAATGACTGACTTTCTCCAGTTACTATACAAGAAAAAATGGAACGCTAAGACCACATCAAGACCACAAGAGGAACGAAATGAGCAGTGAGAGAAACGTTGTTCAATCTGATAAAGGTACACAATGGTTAAATGGTGGTCCTTAACTTCAAACTAAAGACCAATGGAATTTCTTTCCAAGAAAAGCCCAAGAAAACAAGCAAAACTTCGCAACTCAAAAAAATTTCATGAGACTAAAATGCGATGGCCGATTCACGTGACATGTTTGCAAATTCCAGTGAATAATTTAAAAAGGGATATAAGGATATGAGTACTCAGGAAGAAAAAAAGTTAGAAATCTCCAGACCAGAAATGTTGTTCGTCACCTAAGTCTAAATACTGGTCAAAACCTTCTCGAGTGCATGTTCCATCCGGGTTGATTAAATAGCGGTGGAAAGTACCGTCTGAACACACGGCAGTAATGTACTGAAATGTACGTCAGATGTGTTACTAACTGCCAGACAATTGAGAAAGAATTTATAACGTCATACCTGCTGATTACTGGAACTCCGTCCCTTAGCAGACCCACTTGCTGAGACGGTGTGAAAACCTAAGTCAGCAAAAACCTTGCCGTCTGGTAAAGAAAATTGGGCGCAATTCCACTCGACCTCCTCTAGACCCACATAACGAAGACTAAAAGGAAAATAAAATTGAAACCTATTCAAAACAAATAGGGCCAATTTGCTATGTACCCTAATTAGTTGAAAACAGGCGGTGTCAATTCCTGAATGACTATTTACAGTAGAAGTAATTTAATTACTGATTCAAAGATAGAAGCCTTACTTCCCAATTAGCTCATTTTACAATATTACTCAAAGCATTAACTTACATAGACTTTTTATTTACATGCTTATTTTCTTGTCTCATAAGCGAGAAAATATGTACTGTTCCCTTGTCGCTATAGACACCAAGAAAGCTCGAACACGGAGAAAACCGCAAACTAAAATAAAGTTATAACCAATACTACCAGAATAAAACCACTGCGAGAAACGAAATGTGATGTGTCGTTCTAAAATGAAACATGAACATGGAACAACATGGAATAATATTTTAAAAAGCCATTTTCTAGCCGCTTAAAGCTTCTCTAAAAGTTAAGAGGTTTGGAAGAAACTGAAGAGCGAGCTTGCAAGTTCAGTAAAAGAATACACCCTTAGATTTAAATGCTATATGTGCCACGAACTGACCTGAAAAAGTTTGTAGTGACGTCTACTTCTAGGTGTTGAAAAAGACAAATGTAGAGTAAAGCAGTAAAACAGTGCAAAAAGAAAGGGTTTTGAAATGGGCTCTCAAACTTTGATCTGAAAACGATCACAATCCTACAGCATAGCTCAAAAAATGTAGTGACAAAAAGTCCACAAAAAAGCCGTCTGCGTAGGCAGTATGGAAACAGGAGGGCTCCCCAAAATATATGCTTATAAATTTGGAGCGTAGTAGGTGCTTCTAAATGCGTTAGGTAAAAAACCCAGGCTGCATCAGAAATTTCGCAGGTGTACTCTCACACTAAATAACTTGAAACGGTTCTGAAGAAACGTGCCAGTAAGCAAAGTAAACATTTCTGTTTAGGTTTCGGAACGAGAATGACACTGTAGGAAGAAGAAATAACAAAACCTAAATGATGAAATGTTCAGTCTCCAAAAAAGAAGAAATAACTTTTTCGGAAACGCGAAATCCCAACATAAAAAAACCATAAAGGGATTCTGACTAGAAAATTTTGCTTCTTTCTGTAAATATTTACGGTCCACAAGTTGTAACTGTTAAAAATGGACGTACCAATACAGAGTTGCTGGATCTGTTCCCCTTCTAAAAACATTGAGTAATGAAAGCCCTCTCGTGCTAACTTCAAATAATCTGATCACAGTCCCCTACAAAATGTTTGTATGGTGAAATGGTTAATCACGCAAGCCGAGAACCTACTTGCTCCTTGGCAAAATAAAAGCAAGAAATGATAAAAAAATAGACCTTTTTTGAACCAGTAGCTAATTTCTTCCCTCGGTTATCCAGGGCAAGACGTGCGATACTAGAATTATGCGCATTCACACAAACTGGCGAAGAGGAAGATTCTTTAGAAAGTTTGCTTAGAAAAACTATCTGAAAAAAAAAAACACTTCCACGGTCAGTAACAAAGGCAACAAAAGATAATCCAGACGATGCCAGCAAGAAATAATCCTAGTTTAGCATCTTAGCTGAGGTAACTTTAAAAAAGGCAGTAGTAGCAAACGCTACGTCTGTTGCAATGTCTTCCATATGGAATATCAAAAGCGATCTAGCACTAAAGTACGAGGCAAATTCAGAATTTTGTTTGTACTGAAACTCAGCGTATCCGACACAGCTACTTTGAACTTTCCTCAAGAAGCGACGAGCTACTAGTAAAACAGCACATCCATTAGCAAAATTATTACTGCATCCACTACCTTTACAGTCTTCTTGTCTCAGTACAACCACGACTTCGTTTAAGCTTACCTATATTAAAGGAAAGGCTAAATTAGATAAATTCTCGGTAGGTTTGGAGGTCAACTCTTTTTACGATTCAAGGTCTTACAAAAAAAGCTTTAAACGCTCTTGTTCCTTCCACTGCTTTCATATCTGGTCGTTCCTAACGTCCCTATTTCTTCACAATAATTTATTTTACTGGTGCCGAGGAGCAAGCAATTTATTTTTAAATTGTTAAATACCACTACCGACTGTTTCTCGGTTACTGTTTGCATTTAATCTTATATTTACGTTTTTACCTTATAACTGTGTTGATCAAACCTGAGACTGTTAGGTGAGTACCTAAACATTTACAGCTCAAATATGACTAATAACTCAGTTTGACAAAATTTTAGTAAAAATTCCATTACACTCAATCCTGTGGTTAAAATTCAAACAGTCCTAAAAACCCACCACAATGCAAAGTTTTTAACACTTCGCATTATTTCTTCAGTAGTGATTTTTACTGATATTTCAAGACTCTAACCTAATTAAATAAAATTATGCACTTTAAAAAAAGTTTAGAAGGACATCTTTAGCAACGAAGAAATGTTAACTGATAGATGTTTGAGGAAATATACTGGATATACCTTTGTACACACAATTAATAAACCTTAATTGGTGACAGCATCGATAAACAGTCATTAGTTCTCAAGACACAAATTTACAGATGAAACATGAGCTTACAACTTCATTGAAGTTTGAAAAACTGGTATTTAAAAATTACCTGAACAGCACCTTCTTTGTCAGCTGGATATGCAAGTGACTCATTGGTTCCATCTCCCGAAACGTCAGCCACGCCATTGGGGTTGTAAACAGATTTGTAGGACTTAATAAACTGTACCTCTTTCGGGTATGAAAAAACATGTACGGAACGGGCCTCAACAACCACAACACTACAAGATACTCAAACATCGATGTATTTTTACTTATTTGCTTCCTTTATATACTTGTCGAGGTTATGCTAAGTCAATTTACTGATTCACACTTCAGGATTTGTAATTCCAGCTTTACGGCACATCGAAACTTAAACTGCATGAATGAAAGGAAGAAAGAAACTGTTGACAAGTGTACCACCTGCAATTTTCTGTCTAGCACAACTATAACAATTTGCTATCTTTAAACTGCACACTTCTGTTTTAAATCTGGAGCTCTACAAATGCTAAAATATTTGACTAAAAAAAAGAAATTTTTATTTTCTACAGCTCCCACAAAACTGAACTGCAAAGATAAAGCAACTTAAAGCTCAGTTCCTACTACTGAAAAGATGTAAATTTGACTTCTGACAATAATTATGCTTCGAATCGCTAGCAAATAACTTACACGAAAGCCATATTCTACAAATCTCAAAAACCTTACGCTCATTTGA